GGTGTTCGACGACAATGGCTATTGAAGAGAATAGGGATATTTTAATCTTAAAATTGCTAAATATGCTTAATTGTTCTAATGTGATAGATGAGGGAGGTTAATTGTCTCAATTAAAAATGCAGGGTGATTTTTTGAAAAACCCACTAATGATAGGGTGGTTTTATGTAATTTTTCCTTAAAAAAATTAGGTGATTAAAAACTAAGAAACATAAAGAGATAAGTGATGAAATATTATAAGAGCCCGTTTGGATGAGCTTTTTTTTCTTCAAAAGCTGCTTTTTTTAAGAAAAAAAGCACTTCTCGAAAAAAGTTTGTTTGGATGTCTGCTTTTAAAAAAAACAGAAGTCATAAAAAAAGCCAAAAACTTACTTTTTTCGGAAGCTAAAAATTTTAACTTCTCAAAAAAAGCAGAAGTCAAAAATCAAATATTTTTTAAAAAATCTAAATAGGTGTAACTTTTATAAAAATTACTTTTAAAATAAGAAAATAATAAAAAGAACTTTTAAAAAAAGTGAATACAAACTGGCCCTGAAAGAGCCGATAAAATGATTCTAACCCAATGGGTTGGCCCGAATGACCCATTATACATGACGAATTGGGTTATAATATACAGCGCGCCAACCCATTTAATCCACCCTGTATAAGTGCATGTCAAAGCAGGTTGATCACATTTAATAGTAATTATAATTATAATATTTAATAATAAATTTTAATGTGTCAATATTTTATTATTAATTCATTATATTAATGATAATATTTTTTCAGATTCACTATTCATCCTTTCAAAATTTGATAAAAGCAGGGAGTGAAAGTATACGGGCCTGTTTGAATTTGGTTTTTAAAAATAACTTTTTTATTTAAAACAATAAAAAAACTTATTTGATAAGGCCTGTTTTATAAAAATTCTTCTAAAAATTATAAATATTTTTTATTTTTAAAATCAAATTTAAAGAATATGTCAAAATTATTTTTGTTTTGTATTTTTACTTTTAACTTTCAAAAAAAAAAACACCAAAATACTTGTTTTTTAACTATTCTACACATTACACAATAATTTTAATAAAAAAAAATAGAATACAATCAAACTGATCGTAAGTAATTTAAACAAACAAACAAAAAATTCAATATAGAAGGAAAGAAAAAAGAGATAATTCTGAGAGCGGGAAAATTCTATCAGCAGAGACGGAAACAATAATGATACATTCTAAAAGGAGGATCATTAAAAAACAGGATAAGAATAACTTTTTTCTTTTCAACATAAATCACATGACTGTCATTTTTTTATTTCTTTGAATAATTGGACCTTTTTCTTTTCAGTTGGTAAAAGGTTATACACTGTAAAAATGATAATTTTATCACTTTAAATGTATATAAATTTAAATTTAATAATATAACTTTAAAGATGTATGATTTTTATGGAACTATAACTTTGAATTATATTAATACTTTGACATTTGGAATCGGAGGTGTGTGAATACACCAAAGAACCTTAAACTATTATAACTTGTGAAATGAACTCACCTAATCACCTTCGTGCGAATGAAAAATTATGATTCCGGGACTGTTCAAATTTGATTTTTTTAATCTCTTTGCTAGACAAAAAGTAAAACAAAACATAAAAGGTACTTTAATTTTTTATTTATATTTATTGAATTTTTAACATTTTTTTTTGTTAGACATGGAATTTTTGACTTTGTTTATGTATATATATATTGATTTAATTATTGATTAATATTTTTACAAGTTGTAGTTATTAATATTGTCTATGTTTTTACCAATAAATAAATAAATATTGTCTATGTATAAATTTATTAATTTATATTTATACAACTTCCATTTAATAAATATTATAAACTTTATCTATTTACAAATTTACTAATTTATAATTTTATAATTTATATTTTTCATGCTATAATTTTATTAATCTTATCTATGTGTATGCGTATTTATCAATTTATATTGCACAATTTATATATTACTTATTATTATTATTATTATTATTATTATTATTATTATTATTATTATTATTATTAAGTTTTGATACTCTTCAATATTTGATCATCAACTTATAGTCATTATTGATATCATCAAAACTTTTTTAAAATTCTTATAGCACTCTAATACGATTTTGAGGTAATATATTGTTTCAATTAACCGTAATAGCTAAAGGTAAAGTTTAAAAAATAAGAATAATTATAGTAGGATAGAGAACAAATTTGAGGGAGGAATTGACATGACAACTTAATAAAATTCAACGTACATGCATAATGTAATATAGTTGAAGTGAAAATATAATAGTATCTATTAATCCAATTGAAATACTTAGTGACCCGTAATTTCAAAAACAATTTAAATTCATTAAGTTGAATTGGTCAAAAGTCAAAAGGTAAAAAATTGAAACCTTTTAATTGAATTAATCAAAATTCAAAAGTCAATGGGAAAAAATAGATTGTTCATTAATAATAAAAGACGATTTAATATTTTTCCCAACAATAGTCAATACTTGAATTTTTTTTTTTGTAAATGGTTAATATTTTATCATCAAAATTAATGATAATTATAACTATAAATTTGGTGCATAGCATAGCTTCATATCCCAATAAGAGATAAGAAAACCGTGGTGAGTAAAAATCCCCATTAGAGAGCATATTAGCTGCAGCAAAATCATTGAGAAAGAATGGCGAATGCTTCAATTAAGTTGGCCGTCTTTATGTTCCTGCTTTTTCTTGCATATGGTATTTATCTTCCCTTCTATTTGTGCCTTGGTTAGAAATGCGTAGAACCAACTAAAAAATAGGAGTTAATATAAGAACACACATATATAAGAAATTACTTTAAATGTTTGCACAACAAATAAATAACTGGATGTGAAATATGTTATGTTTGAATTGAATATTAGAAGTTGTAGTAAAACTTCATGTTTGGTAATTATCATAAGAGTTTATCTATTCTCAAGTATATAAGAGAAGAAATATCATGCCACAGACAATAATAATGGGGTCTATTACCTAAAAAACAAAAACAAAAAGATTGTACTGTTATCAAAGATATGTAGAAAAAAAAATTATCTAATTTAACATGACAATAATTTTTTTCTTATTATAATGACTTTAAATTATTTCTGAAGAAAGTACTTTTCGATAAATACTAATTATTATTAGAGTAAAGATCCAAATTGATCCCTGACAAAAAATGCGGTGGCCAAATTAATCCCTAAGAAAAATAAACTCGTAAAATAGTCCCCAACAATGTGAAACAGGACCCACGTTAGTCTTTCTGTCAAACCAAAATTGACGGTGTGAGTGACGGTGCTAATGTGTCACGTTAAGTGACATGCTGAAGCCCACGTGTAGATCTTAGACGACGTCGTTTGTTGAAACTCAGCCACCTTGGACAACCTTTTTTTGTAAAACCCAATTTTGCCCCTCACCTAACCGTTGGACACTTTTCCTTTTCCCCCTCTTCTAACATCGACACTTCATTGTTGAGAACGAAGGAAGAAGACCGTGGAGTAAACCCTGGTGCCTGCGTTTGGAATATTACGAACTTCTTCCAGAATCGAAGGGAACCAGTGGAAGACAAAGACAACTTGGGAGACTTTGTGAGGCTGAGCATATCGTTCAAAAAGGTATGAGTATTTATATGTTGAAACATTTTTGTATTGTTGTTTGTCATCCTTTGTTTAATGCTTGTGGTCCCCATGTTGTTTCCCTTTTGTTTAATGCTTGTTTTTTTATGCATGAAGTGGAACATTGTGGTCCATGTTTCCATTTAGGGTCTTGTTTTAAAAGAAAGTAACAACTGGGTGGTGTGGTCTCTGCCATGGTTGACCCATTTAAAAATCTCATGTTAATCGTTGGAATACATGTCTGCATCCATAAAAAAGGTTGCTTTTTTTATTGCTTTGTATTGTTTAACACTTTCAAAGTCTGTAGCTTCATGGTTTAATGATAGGATTGGTTTTTTGGTTTTGAAAGATGTCTGAATACATAGTTATTGTTTATCATCACGGTGGTATGTTTATCAGAGATGAAGATGGAGTGATGACCTATATATATGGAAGGGTGGACTCATTGCCGGAGATGGACATTGACTACTGCAATATTCGTGACCTTGACACCCTGTTTAAGCAATATGGGTATGAAAAATGCAAGAGGATGATGTGGCTACAACCTGGGGTACCCGATTTGGATCTGGGGCTGAGACCTCTTAGTATAGATTCAGATGTGTGTGCTATGTGTGAGGCTGCTTTAGGGAATGGCAATGAGATACATGTCTACTTTGAGGGCTGCATCTCAATTCCCCAGTTTGCTTCACCTACACATGACAGTGAAGAGGATAATATCATTAATTCAGCACATAATGAGGACCATGAAGAGGTTGATGATGGGGTCAGTTCACATGAAGGTTGTGCACAAGGTGATGTTGGGGTCAAAGAAAATGAAGACCATGCACAGGCTGCTGATGACCTTAGTGCACAAGGTGATGATGGGATGAATTTGGATGAAGACCATGCACAGGCTGCTGATGACCTGAATGCAGAAGGTGATGATGGGATCAATTCGGACCATGATGAAGACAGTGCAGAGGATGCTGGTTATGGGTCTGAAGAAGATAATGCAGATGATGACCATGCTACCTCACACTCAGATTCATATGAGAGTGCAGAGGATGAGGTTTACAAGCCTCCCCCACCTGGTGTTGAGGATGATTCAGAAGATGATGATGATGATATGTCAGTGCCAATTGTAGAGAAAGAAAGGCCTGCAAAACAGACCCCAAGGAGGAAGGCAGTCAAGAAGGATGCCCCAATACAAGACTCTGAATCTGAAGAAGTTGATGAAGAGGAAGCCATGATGTCATTTGAGGAAGAAGGATATACCTATCTGTCCGAGGAGTTGAGGACTCCTCCTTCAAGTGATGATGATGAGAATGTTAGACCTGTTATGCCAAAGTTCAATTAGCAAGCTTCTTTTGGGCATGTCTATTTAGAACTTGGTATGGAGTTTATGAATCTGGACCAATTTAAGTGTGCAGTAAAAGATTACAATATCAGTCTTGGGAGGAACTTCGTATGGGTTAAGAATGACAAGGTGAGAGTAAAGGCCAAATGCAGTGTAGAAGACTGTGAATGGATGGTGTATTGTGTCTGGAACAGTAAGCAAAGCACATTCCAAGTTAAGACTTTTAAAGAGATTCATACATGTTGCAGAGTCTTCAAGAATAAAAAGGCTACAAGAGATTGGGTGGCCAAGAAATTGGAGAAGAGAATAGTAACACAACCCAAGATGACAAGGACAGAGGCATTTGAGCACATGAAGGAGGAATATAATGTGCATTTGGATATGAAGAAAGTAAGTAAAGCTTTGAAAAAAGCAAAGGGGACCATTGAAGGTTATGAGAAGGAGCGATATGGAAGATTAAGGGAATATTTAGCAGAACTGTTGAGGAGCAACCCTGGCTCCAGTTGCAAATTGCAAGTCACCCCCCAACCTATTCCACAATCATTGCCAATATTTGACAAAACGTACATCTGCCTTGATGCTTGTAAGAAGGGATTCAAAGCTGGATGCAAGCCCTTAATTGGGTTGGATGGATGCTTTTTGAAGGGCTATTATGGAGGTCAATTATTGAGTGTTGTGGGTGAAGATGCAAACAAACAATTCTATGTGATTGCATATGCCGTGGTTGATAGTGAGACGAAGGACAATTGGAAGTGGTTTCTGACATTATTACAGGAAGATTTAAGGGACCATGCAGTATTTGGTTGGAACTTCATTTCGGATCAACAGAAGGTAAGGTTTTTTTGGTTGTGCTTCCAATTATTTATTTCACATAGAGTTGTCATACTTAATTGTATTTTGGTTGTTAATGAATATGTCTGTTCTGTGTTGTTGCCATTGTCTTGCTGTTAATGAATATTTGCAAGCAAGCTTCTATTGTTGTCATTGATCTTATTGAATATTGTGGATTGTTTACAATTTTTTCATCTTTATTGCTGCCAATGTCATGAAGTATCTGGTTTATGAAATCATGTGGTATGTGTGTTCTGTTTGCCTTGTCTAATGATGTTTAATAACCTTAACTAGTCCCCCACAAATATTATCGAGGACCATTTTAGTCCTTGTTCTTTAACAGAAGGGACCATTTTGGTCCCTAACAATTTTATCGGGGGTACAAATTGGTTCCTACAACAGTTCTTTTAATATGGTCACTTAAAAATCCAGCACTGTAAATTCCCCTTATACATGCTGATATTATTCATGCTGATTTGAGATTGTATTTTAATTTTTATTCACTGTCATTCACATACAGGGACTTGTCCCAGCCTTGAAGGAAATTATGCCAGGTTCATACCACATGTTCTGTGTACAACATGTATGGAAGAACTTCATCAAGCAGTGGAAGGATAAAGAGACAAGAGGAATTGTATGGGAATGTGCTAGATGCACCACTGTTCCCCAATTTGAGAAGGTCATGCAAAGGCTGAAGACTCTAAACGAACCAACTTGGAAGTATCTTGACAATATACACCCTTCATGTTGGGTTAAGGCCTATTACAGTCACTGGCCTAAATGTGACAATATCACGAATAATATGGCTGAGGTGTGGAATGCAAAGATTGTGAATTATAGGGACAAATCTATAATGACATTGTGTGAGGAATTGAGGTGCTACATAATGCGAAGGATGGCAGCACACAATAAGATTCTACAAACCTGTATGGGTAAGATAGCACCTGCACAGCAGAAGAGGCTGGACTAGTTGAAGGTTGCAAGCAATTCTTGGACACCAACATGGACTGGAAACTTGGTCCAAGATCTCTATGAAGTATCTGGAAAGGGTCAACGTGTTGGGGTGAATTTAACTCAACAAACTTGTAGTTGTAATGTGTGGCAGCTGACTGGATTGCCTTGTGAACATGTCATTGCTGCCATTGCACACAAGAATGAACCTGTGGAAAATCATGTTCACCAATGGCTGACAGTGGATGTTTTGCATGCCAGTTATGAACACACTCTCAACCCAGTCAATTCCCAACAATATTGGCCAGCTTGTGATGCCCCAAAACCACTTCCTCCACGCTTGAAAAGGCCTATTGGACGTCCCAAAAAAAATCGCAAGAAGGATCCCACTGAAGAGCTTATGAAGACCAACAAGAAGCTTAAGAAGACTTACACAGTTCAATGCTCCAAGTGTGGTCAGACTGGTCATTACCCCAAGACATGTAAAGGACCTGCTGGTGGATCAAAGAAAAAAACTAAACCAGTTAATGTTGAAGTTGGCCAGTCAAGGACAGTTGAAGATATCCTCATGAGCATGAGTCAAGGCTGCCCTCCACCAGAGACAAGTAGCCAGCATGCACCAAATGCAGCTGAACCAAGAGCCAGCAACCCACCACCATGCAATCATGCTGAGGCAGTGACCAGTGAGACAGCAGCTGCAGCTAGCAGTGGCACCAGAGCAAGATTCATAAGCTTCATGACTACACCAGGATTCAGGCCACCTAGGCCAGCCCCATATAACTAATTTGGAATTGTAATCACTGACATTAGGCCAGTTCGAATGTCTCAGTTGGCATTTTTTTGTTATTAGGCCAGTAGCTTGGAATTGTAATTAGGCCAGTTTTTTGGTTTACTTTGATTTTGGCCCTGTTTAAATTATTCACCAATAGCTTTTTTTTGTATGCCTCTGGTTATGGCCATATTAAGTATCAACACTTTGTTTTTTGGGAAGATGGCATGTTCCTACTTAATGGTTTAATATGTCAGTGCCAATTGTAAGTACACAGACATGATATCAATGGATTACTAAATCTCTTATGTTATTACTATTTTTCATTGCTGTCATTAATGTGAAATGAATGAAAGATTATGTTAGTTTGGTTGTTATCTGTATTCACTGTCATGATTGTATTCAATACTGTCAAACAATACTATTTTTTGTTTTTGTCATTACCATCTCTTTGGCAAATTGCTTATCATGCTTATATTTTGTATGTTGTGTCATTTTGGGGTCATGTGTAAACATACCTGAATTTTGGGGTCATTACCAAATTGCTTGGCAAATTGGTCCCTTTTATACCTTATAAGTCCCCAACAATTTTGGTCGAGGACCATTTTAGTCCCTGTAATATTTTACACTAGGTCAAATAGGTCCCTAACAAATTCATCGGGGCCCAAATTAGTCCCTGCAAAACATGATAGTAAGACCAATGCCACAAAAAGCTGTTACCACATAAGCTCATTCTCCCTTCTGTATAATTCCTTTAATCCTTGTTGTTACTGCTCATACAGTCTTTTGACCATTTTAATTGGCATTTCCAGATAACTTAATACTTAGCAGGTTGTGCTTTAAGAACAATCAAGTTCAAGGACATTAACCATTTTAAGAACAATCAACATCTCATTACATCCCAACAGTGGTCTTTCCATTACAGAGAAGCATACATATTACAGATTAAAAATGAACATTTCACTCCACCCTACTACAAAGATATAAACATATTACAAAGACAATGATAATGGATCCAACAAACACCCTAGCACACCTACACATATGCATTATTTCCTTCTCAACCCTTTCAAAGTCTGCCTGCATCTTCATTGCTATGTCTTCAATCTTTATACAGTGCTCATTAATCTTTTTTTTGTGGTCATTCACCTCCGGTTGCAGTTCATCATTAAGCTTCATGTCCAAAAAGTTCAACTTGAACTCCATTTCAGCTACAATCAACCCCAACTTGTTAATTGTCCAATTTTCCAGCTCCATGGTATCAGATGTAGCATCATCCACCCATGTAAAAAAGTTACAGTACGGCTTCTTTTCCTAAACAAAATTCAAATATACAGTTCATAAGATTGAAATACCAAAAATAACGCATGAAAAAATCAACCTCACCTTGAAGTTGGGGCACCCAAAAAATGATCTATTAGGGTTTCTAGGTGTCTTGGAGGTGTAAACAACACTGTGCCTCCCACATTTACACAATGGAGCAGCTCTCCTTCTTCCACTTCTGGACCCAAACGAACTACCTGAGCTCCCCCTTCCAGAAGACATAATCATTGCATAAGCACAAAGATCAACCCTAAATCGAACAGTATACACCCACCTTCCCTATACCGTCAATCAATTTTCCCCAAATTCATGCGTTCAACCTTCGATTCGATGTCATGCTTTCTGGTTTAAGTTGAACCCTAACAAACAAACGACGACGTTTCTTGGATGAAAGAGAACTGTGTCCAAGGTGGCTGAGCTTCAACAAACGACGTCGTCCAAGATCTCCACGTGGGCTTCAGCATGTCACTTAACGTGACACATCAGCACCGTCACTCACACCGTCAATTTTGGTTTGACAGAAGGACTAACGTGGGTCCTGTTTCACATTGTTGGGGACTATTTTACGAGTTTATTTTTCTTAGGGATTAATTTGGTCACCGCATTTTTTGTCAGGGACCATTTTGGGTCTTTACTCTTATTATTATTTTCATTGCAGGTTTGACAACACAAGCTTTTGCTTTAAGAAATGGAGGTGGTCACTTTCAATTCAACAAAAGATTGCATTGGAAAATGTGCCCCAAATTGCCGCGCGCAATGTATATCTGGATATTGCTTTTGTAGTTGTACTTCTACAAAAGTGTATACATAACATTACGAGTCTGTTTGGATCCTTTTATTTTTAATCTAGAAGCTACTTATAAGTTAAAGCTAAAAAAAAGAGCTTAAAAAAAGAAGCTAAGAGCTGTTTGGAAATTACATAAAAATTTGTTTAAAAATTATTTAAAAACACACATTTCAAGAAAATTATCTCTCTATCTTTATCACTCTTCATTTTAAAAAAAGCACACAATTCAAGAAAAACAGATAAGAGCTTAAAAAAATGCTCCTCCTATGAGCTTTTAATTTTCAGCTTTTTTCTTCATTATAAAAAAAAAGAATTTTTCGTTATAAGAGCTTTTCTCAAAACCTGTTTGGCCTAGCTTATGCTTATAAGTAGCTTCTAACTAAAACAAAAGATGATCCAAACAGGCACTACTATCGGTGTCAATGCCTTGTCCTTGAACGGGGATTGCATTAAAATATAATAAAATTAAATAAATTATAATGCTTTTTGAGATATATAGTCCCACATTGGTTGTATGTGCAAACTAATGTGGAGTTTATAAGGCCTTGGGCACTCCCACCTTTTGGGCTAGCTTTTGAGGTGGTGTATCCCAAGGTTTTTAATATGGTATCAGAGCCTCACCGCCCCCCCACTTTCTCTTGTGGATCTCTTGTGTGAGGGGGCGTGTTGAGATAGATAGTCCCACATTGGTTGTATGTGCAAACTAATGTGAAGTTTATAAGGTTTTGGACACTCTCACCCTTTGAGCTAGTTTTTGGGTGGTGTATCCCAAGATTTTTAATAATTCTTAATAATTTTGTATTTTGAACGTTCTCTTATTATCATCGTCATAATTATACCGCCTTCTCATTAAAAGCTTTTTTTTTTTTTACTTTTTAAAAAATAATTGCGTATAACAACAGTCTGTGTTTAAATAAAATTGTTATTTTATAGAGTTAAATATCTTAAGCACCGTAAGTTTGGATTAATAAAAAATGAAAGCTTATCTATCTATGTATTATATGATGAACTTGTCTACATTATTTCTTAAATATTTAAATTATTATTTAACAAGTATAAAATTAAAAATGAATATATTCCTGACATGCTTCCTAGAATCTTACATATATCAAATGATTTAAATAATAGAATATATCATTCTATCTATCTTTTTTTTCCTGCTTACCTTTACCTACTACTCTCCAACACCATTAGATCAGAATATTAAGAGAAGAGAGAAAGATAAAAGTTATTTACGATTATGATATAATGGTGTTTTAGAGTGGTAGACAAAGGTAACAAAAAAAAATATAAGTAGAATAATTTAACCCTATATATATATATATATATATATATATATATATATATATATATATATATATATATATATATAAAGAGAGAAAGAGAGGGAATTATTTGATACTGGTGTCAAATTTTGAAATTTGACATCAAATTTTAACATTTGGTTTCTGTTAATCAACGACTATCATTTATTTGAAATCAAACTTATTAATTAATATTATTCTCAATAAATGATAACCGTTGTTTGGCGAAAATCAACGGATAGGGTTGGATATTAAATTTTAAAATTTAACATCGGTATCAAAGCATCGAGTCTCGTATATATATATATATATATATATATATATATATATATATATATATATATATATATATATAGAGAGAGAGAGAGAGAGAGAGAGAGGAGTTTACATTTCTGCAGCTGCTATACGTGCAGCAATCAAATACTTGACATATATATACTTGAAAGCATTAAATGCGGATAATCATAATCATACAAAGTATGAAAGCATTAAATGTGAGGAATCATAACCATACATCTATCGTTGTTGTATGTAAAATAACTGCAGAAATGATTTTACCATATATATATATATATATATATATATATATATGGACAGGATATTCTTACATCGGTGTGAGAGTTAGAAGTCTTACACTCAATCTTGACCATTGATTCACTTGTATCCAATGACTCACATTACTAAAAAATTAGAACCCTTAAATATAAGTGGGATCAACGGACAAAATTAAGAGTGTAACTTACACTGGTATAAAATAATTCTGACCCATATATTTATTTATATATATATATATATATATATATATATATATATATATATATATGAAACGAGTTGAGATTGAAATTTAATTGAGTTCAACATATTCATTCAATGAAATAATCAAAATTCTTATTTTAAGAATACAATAGTCTGCGCTCATTAAATTTTATTATTCAAAAAGTCAAAAAGCAAGCAATTAATACGGTTCTGCTGATGTATTCGAGATACTATCAATTCAATAAAGGGGGTTTATCCTTTAAATGTCACAACTTATATTATTTTACTTTCCCAAAAAGATGAGATTCACACATTTTTCTATCATCTATCTCTTTTTCTAACTTAAAATAACACACACTTTTTTCTTCAATAAAATATTAATTCAGCCATATTTTGAGAATACATTATAGTATAAACTACTAATGTAATTTCTTCTAATAACTTAAATTTTTGAAATAAATTAATTTTAATGTGGTATCACTCTTAATTGTAAAAAAAATTAAATATTATAGAGTTTTTTTAGTATCATTCACTTTTTAAGTCTAATGAGTTTGATTCTCATCTTTAAACTTTTGGTTTGAATTGATTTTTTACAATAACATATATAAATATATTAATTTATAATTTCTCATGTCTATATACGATATTTATATACTTATAATGTTTTTTTATAATTTATATCCTTAATTTCAATATAATATAAGCATAATATTTTATTTAAAAAAAGTATGTATTTAACATCCATTATATTTGAGTATGTTAATATCTATATTTCTTATAAAAGAGGATGTAGTATTTTCTCAACGTATGCCAACACTTTGATTTTTTTTATCTTTTATATGATC